TTGATGGAGAATCCCGTGGAAAACTGCCCGGATTTATTCTAGGAACCCGGGGTTAAGATGCTTCTGTTAAACTGCTTGCTTCTGTGATGCACCCCACCCCCACCCTACCCTCACCGCATCCTCATCCCACCTCTACCCCACCCCCACCCCATGAAGCTGCTGAGATGCCAGGACATGTTTCTTTTTGCTTTCAAAAATCCTGTGCTCTGTACACTCAGGGCTACACTTAAGTCCTGAATTCCTGAGTACAGTTCCAGCTGGCTAGAATAAAGACTTTCAATTGACTACAAACTTTGTCTGAGTGCCCATCTCTGGTGAGCTCCCTGTAACGGTACCAGCACCCATAGTGCGCTGGGCCCTCCCACATCCATCATCAAACAATGCACCACAGGCTCACTCACAGGCCAATCTGATGGGGACATATCTTAGAGTATATCTATTGCTGTGGAAGGATGCTATGGCCATAGCAGCTCTTACAAAGGAAAACATTTAATTGGGGCTGGCTTAGAATTTCAGAGGTTCAGTCCATTGTTGTCATAGCAAGAATCATGATAGCATGCAGGCAAATACGGTGCTGGAGAAAGGGCTGAGAGTTCTGTATCTTGATCCCCAGGCAACAGGAAGTGAACTATGTGCCTCACTAGGTGTAGCTTGTGCATCGAGCACCTCAAAACCTATCCCAACAAGCCCACACCTCCTCATAGCGCGACTCCCTATGGGAGTCTTTGTCTTTGAAACCGCCACGGGGTATTTTCTCAACTGAGGTTCTCTCTTCCCAAATTACTCTAGCTTGTGTCGAGCTAACATAAAAGTATGCCACAACCAGTTTAACTTGTTTTTGTTGAGAGATTCTAGATTTTTCGTATTTTTCCCCTCTCACAGAAAACAAAACAATTAAAACCGCCAAAGATAAATATCAAGGGCCAAAGGCAACCATCAGTGTGGTCAGTATCTTCCAGAGCACCGCTGTGAATGCTCTAGGCAGCTCTAGGCAGCCTTGGCATAGCACAAGAATTCCAGGCCAAGTTTTATTTATTGGTTAATTAGTTGGTGGTTTTTGAGACAGGGCTCTCTGTGTAGTCCTGGCTGTCCTGGGACACACTATGTGGACCAAGCTGGTGAGGCTAACTTTTGAAGGAGCCTTTTGGTCTTTAAAAAAATAAACTTTTCTTTTCTTTTCCTTTTTCAGACTGGGTCTGACTGGGTCTCACTGGGTAGCCCTGGCTAGACAGGAACTCACTGCCTCCCCAGTGAAAACTTGCACTTGGGCAAAAGCACCACACCTACTAAATACACAACCGAAGACTTCTGTCGGCATTGGTGGTGCAAACATATATCTTGGCTTACTTTGTTCTTTACGTTGGATGAAAACCAGACTTGAAGAGCATGCTAAAACTCCCCAAAACAAACTTTTGGAAGTTTATGATGAAAAGGTTTTAAGAAATTGCTGACTGGAAATACTGCAAAGAGAGCCTGTCAGACCGCACGTGTGGTGCAAAGGGCCAGGGTGTCCTCAAAGGGGCTACATTTTGTACTAGAGAAACCTACACATAGAAGGGCATGGAATTGGTTTCCACTTGTTCTACTGGAGTTCTCCTCCCACAGTCAAGGGCAGAGAATGGTCTTAAGAGGTCTCACTATCAGGTGGTAAAAACGTGGTCTCTATCCATGAAGCCTGTTTAGCTTTGGTTTTCTACGTTTTATTTTATTTTAGGTGTGTAGGTGTTTTGACTGCATGTGTACATACCACATTCATCCAGTGCTCTTGATGGATACAAGAGGGTGTTGGAGTGTGTTGGAGCTCCTGGAATTGTCCTTACACATGGTGGAAAGCCACCATGTGGGTGCTAGAAAACAAACCAGGGTCCTCTGGAAGGGCAGCTCTTTCTCTTAACACAGACATCTTTCCAGCCCCAAAGACAGGTTTTGTTGCTGTTGTTGTCATCGTTGTTTTGCTTTGTTTTGTTTGACAGGGTCTTACCACATAGCTCCTGGGTGTTGAGATTACAGGCAGGCACCGTGCTGGCCTGGCCCCTGAAAGTTTTTTAAAAGTGATTGTGGAAGCAGACAGAACAAGTTTCCCAAAGCCACAGATGACCATTACTTTGAATCTAGCTGAAAAAAGCATTAACAGTTATCCAAAACCAAGAAAGCTCATCCTTACAGACCAGGAATTGCCAGGAGTGTCAGAGAAAGTCCGCCACGATCCCGTAGATCTTGTTTTCTGTTTTGTCAGATACCAAAATGTTTCATAAATCTGTTGTTGTAAGGTGTACTGGGCTTTTTCTTTGGGGCCACCAACCAGCTCACAAAATCATGACATGAAGACTTCGTATTATAGTTATGAATGCTCAACCTAGCTTAGGCTCTTTTCTCCATCTATGTTTTGCTTCGGGGCTTTTTACCTTTCTTTCTGTATGTCCTACTCTGTGCCTGCTGGCTGGCAGCTGCCTGGCTGGCCCCAGGCAGTCTCTCTCTCTTTCTCTCTTGCTCTCTCCTTTTGTTCTTCTCCTCTCTAGTCTAGATTTCTCCTACCTATTCTGCCTGCCTGCCAGCCCCACCTATCCCTCTCCTGCATACCCACTGGCCGTTCAGCTTTTTATTATACCAATCAGGTGCCTTAGGTAGGCAAGGTGAAAAAGCAACACATCCTTTCATAATTAAACACATGCAGCATAAACAAAAGCAACACACTTTTACACAGTTAAAGTAATATTCCACAGCATAAACAGATGTAACTCATCTTTACACAGTTACACATTCCACAACAACAAGAAAAAGTGGGGAGGAGGAGAAACATGTTCATGCCCTTGAGACACCATTAGTTAACAACACACACAGAGAGAAAAAACCGGGTTGGGGATATCGCTTTACCCATAAAGCAGTTGCTGGGCAGGTATGAGAAGATGAATTTTGTCCTTAGAACTTGAACAAAAGCAGGGTACAGAGCCGGGCAGGTATGAGAAGATGAATTTTGTCCTTAGAACTTGAACAAAAGCAGGGTACAGAGCCAGGCGGTGGTGGTGTATTTAATCCCAATACTTGAGACGCAGAGGCAGGCAGATCTCCGTGAGTTCGAGGCTAGTCTGGTCTACAGAGCTAGCTCTAGGAGAACCAAGGCTACACAAAGTAACCCTGTCTGGAAAAAGCGAAACCAACAAACAAAGAATCAGGGTACAGCAGCACAAGTCTACAATCCTGCTGCTTCTGTGTGGAGATGGAGACAGAGGCAGGAGCTTTTCTTGAAGCTTAGCCTACTGATGTACACATTGACCAAAACCAAACAACTTTAAAGGCAAGAACCAATACCAAAGTTTTCCTCTGACCTCCATATATGTGCCATGACATGCATACACCTGCAATCACACTCAGAAACATTGTGCACATATCACACACATACATGCAAATCATAATCATACATACATATATAATATATATATATATATGTATATATATATATATATAAACAAGAACAGAACAAAAGGAAATAACTGGAAATAAGAAAATCTGACAAAGGAGGATGAAGACAGGATTATCTCACATGAGTCTACTTTTACACCTTTTTATGTGTATATGGGGAGATTAGGAGGGTAATGTGTTTGACATGTGGTATATGTGTTGGGGTGTGTGTGGTACATGTATCCCCATGCAGAAGCAAAGCAGGATGCTAAGTATCTTCCATTAAACTCCTCCTTATTACCCTGGGACATGGTCTCTCACTGAATTGAAACTCACCACTGTCAGTCACTAGGCTGACTGGCCAGTGAACTCTTGGGTTCCATCTCTCTTCCCTCCCAAAGCTGGAGCTGCAGACCTCACAAGCATGCTGGCTTTTTACATGGATACTAGGGGCTTAAACTCAGATCCTCATGCATGCCGAACAAGTGCTTTAAGCTACTGAGTCAGCTTCCCTGCTGCCATCATCATCATCATCATCATCATCATCATCATCCATGGAGTCTCATGTATCCCAGGCTGGCCTCAAACTCAATGTAGGCAAAAATAACCTTGAACTTCTAATCCCTTCCATGTACTGGGATTACAGATACACACTATCACATTTAGTTTACAAAGCAATCAGGCTCAAACCCAGAACTTCATGCATGCTACACAAGCCCTCTAGCAATTAGGCTACACCCTCAGGTCTCCTTTGGATATTTTTCTAATATTATTGCTTTGCATAACTCTTTGGAAACCTTTATTGAAAGTGTAATCAGTCTTTAACTTTTGAATAGAGAATGTGCACAGATATTCATAGAGGTCCACTTAGGGATATTTTAACAGATACCATTCCCAGACAAATGCACACAAGTTCAAACAGTCCAGGTGTTACGATGATGGGTGGGAGGTGAAACCATCATTTGGGTCTTGATAGATCAAACAGTATGAGTTGGGCTGGAGAGAGAGCTCAGAGGTCAAGAGTATTTACTGTTCTTCCAAAGAATCTGAGTTTGGTTCCCAGCACCCATGATTGCCTCAGTGGGCACCTGCATTCACATATGTGATACAATCTAGGGGTCTTATTTAGGTTTATTTTTCCTCTATAATTAAAGAATTATACCACAGGGAGAAAAAAATCTCTCAAGGGGGAGATGTAGCAGCAGAAAAATCTCAAACTATGAGAACTGGAACAGACAGATTCAGCTTCAGAGAGATGTGTGTGAGGGGGAAGAACACAGATACGCTGCCGATACACAGAGAAAAAACCCTCTGCAAAGCAGAGGGGTCACTCAAGGAGAGAAACAAACAAACAAACCCGTCTCAGCTTCCCTCCCCTAATTTAGGGTTGATCAGTTTGAAGAAAGATAGAATAGTTCATCAGCTGAGGGCCCATTGTCAGAAGAAAGTAAACCTTCCAGGCCTTTGTTTTAAGCTGTAAGACCTTCACCTCAGACCAGAAGGGTGAGGAAGAAGCCATCTTGGAAGTTGGCCGCCTTTATTATCTAGCCATGACCCCTCTCCTTTCTGCAGACCAGAGAATCTGATCTCTCCTGTGTAAACCTCATTTCCCCCACATAGAGAGATAATTAAAATAAAAACAAAATGTTAAAACTAGTGTGAGTTGTTATTACTAGGCATAAGGCAGAGTTGATACACTTTACTTGAAACGGGAATGCAGAGTTGGCATCTTTGGAACTCACTGCGGCTCCTTTCATGGTGTTCACAATGAAGAGAGAGCTGGCAGTCAGGATGACTCTGAGGCTGAGTCCCTTTACTCTCAGCTCACTGTCTTCTTTCTCAAACTTTCCAAAATGAAAGAATTTGCTGAAAGCTCTGCTACTGCCTTTCTGAACAAGTCTTTCAAAGCGTCTTTGACTCTGTCATTGCGCAAGGCATAGATAAACGGATTCAGCAGAGGGGTCACAAATGTTGTTATCACTGTTACCGACCAATTAGCATCCACAGAGCCGCTCTGTGATGGCCGCACATAGAGAAAAACGGCACTTCCGTAGAAGAGGGTGACCACCATCAAGTGAGAGGTACAGGTGGAAAAGGCCTTGTGGCGACCAGAAGCAGAAGGGATGCGCAGGACAGCCAGGACTATTTGGCCGTAGGATGCAGCAGTAATGGCGAGCGAGGACACAATGACAAGAAAGGCGAGGACAAAGTCAGCTTCCTCCAGTTTCTTGGTGTTGGTACATGCCAGGTGTAGCAATGGGCCACTGTCGCAGAAGAAATGCTGTACCACAGCACCCTGTTTGCAGAAAGGAAGCAAGGCCACTGCCACAGTGGGACCGAGCACAGGGAGGAGTCCCCCCACCCAGCAGGCCAAGGCCACACGAACGCACACAGCTCCACTCATGAGCAAAGGGTAGTGCAGAGGACGGCAGATGGCCAGGTAGCGGTCCACAGACATGACAGCCAACAGGAGGAACTCGGAGGCCCCGAGGAAGAAGTAAAAGTAAAACTGAGCGATACATGCCGCAAAGGAAATGGTGTGCTGTTTCGAGAGGAAGTTGCTCAGCATCTTAGGAATGATGACAGAAGTGATCAGAATCTCCAAGCAGGACAAGTTACCCAGGAAGAAATACATGGGCGTCTGCAGGCGATGGTCAGCTCCTACCACCCCCACAATCAACACGTTGCCTGTTAGAGTCAACAGGTAAATAAGAAAGAACATAGAGAACAGTTCCACCCCTGTGCCGTTAAGGTTTGGGAAGCCTGCCAGTATGAACTCTGTAGTCTCATCACTGTGGTTCCAGCAAGGAGCCATTATTATCTGCCCCACCTGTAAGACAGTATGAAGGTGAACATGATGGGGGAAAGAAACTCAAGGTCACTATCTGATTGCAGAGCTGGAGAGGTTCCCTCTCAAGGCTAGCTCAGTCCTAAGAAAGTGTCAGGCACCTGCATCTCCACACATCCCGTTCTCAAATCTTGACTGATGGTTCTTGATGATGATGAGGAGGACAACCTCTCTGAATGTGTGAACTGGCTGAAAAATGAGAACGATCCTGTGAGGAGATGGAGCTCCCACTGGCTTCCTGCCCTACAAGTCTGAGTCTCTACTCTCTGGGCTGAGTACATGGCATCCTCGGCTGCAAATTTTTGTAAGGAGCAAATGAAATACTAGGACAAAGGACTCAAAAGAGTTTCCAACACCAACCTAACAAGTGAAAAGGCAGAGGAAACCCTAGGATGAGGGTCAAAATCTAGGCCTGGCTCACTGCCTCGTTTGGAAGACAGTCAAGGAAGAGAGCCCTTGCTTGCATTTCAATTACCCAGCTAAACAATTAGCAGTAGAAGCTGGGCCATTTTACATGCCAGTTCTCCCTTTTTAATGGAGAATTTTCACAATAAACTAAGAATTGAATCAAACTCAGATCTCCACAAAATGCTTACATTTCTGAAGCAAGTTGTAAAATATAAAAAGGAGGGTATGACAGTAAAGCCATATTGATTCATTCAACCAGTCTGTTGTTTTCAATGAAGTACTCTTGTTAACATTAATATGAGCTCATGAAGCCTTCGTCAACTTGTGACACTTTCCCTTCTGAACCACAGCCCAAAGCCTTCCCCAAAACAGGCTCCATTGGATTGTCAGAAACAGAGCTACACATTCCTGGCTATAATTAATTAAATTGGAAATGGAGTTGATTCAAGTTCTTCCAGTTCTACCAACTAAGAACATAAATAAAGATAGCCAAATTCAGAAGATATTCTGAAGAGCTGTCTTTGAAAGCCTCCATTAAAAGATAAAGAAAACACAAAAGAAAAAAAAAAATGAAAACCTCACTGTGGCAAAACATCAGAATTTATTTTTAAAACATTGATCTTTTCCAGCTGTAGTGCTCTGAACCCCTACCAGCCATCCAGTTCCCAGCAAACACCAGACTCCTTACTCCTTCCTGTTTTCCTTCCTCGCCTCTGGATCTTAGATGTGTGGTAGGGAAACGTTTGTGCCTTCTGTTTGGGGTACAGCAGTTTTACCATCTTTCACCTTAGGAGCTCAGGGTGTCGTTCCTCCTTCCAGCTTCCACGGAAACACAGCTTCTACAGAAATCACATTGTGTAGGTTGGGACTGCCACGGTAGCTCTGCCCCAGTCTGTATTGGGTGATTCAGAGACAGGCCACATTGCTGGATCACTGTTCAATGCCTAATGATGAAACAGGAAAATTAGGATCTGGGACAGGAGGAAAGGCTACTGGTGTGTACAGAATGCTAAGAAGGATGTCAAAAATAAGCCTTAGAGGGGTAAGTAGCATCCTCAAGAAAGAGGTGCCTAAAGTAAGTAGGCGGTCTCAAATGAGCTCTTGAGGGGAGAGGGATGTTTCCATAGAAGCAGTGCATCTGACCTAAGAACAGAAAGTGAGGATGAAGGGTCAGGAAGTGACACTGGACCATCTAAAAGCAGAACTATTTTCTGACCCTCTGCCACTCCCTTACGAAACTACTTCTCTGGTCTGAGCCTACCTTTATCTGAAGTGACAGGAGGGTGACTTGCCTGCTCCCAAATGCCACTGACACCTTCATAAGTTTAGGATCCTGAATATTTACCTGTCTCAGTTTATGAGTCAGTGTCCTCTCCAACCTATGGTCCTTCCATCACCCTGTACTATGAAGCTGACAGTAGCCTGGTATCCTTGGAGTTCCAAGGGATGGATACTACGCTTGGGAAGACAAGAAGGGTTGGGTAATGCCTCCTCCTCCCTTGGGCTTTCCGCCCTGATATACCCTCTGGTGGTGCTGAACTACCTCGTGAGCACAGGGGTTTTCTGACCCTGAGGAGGGTGTTACACTGTTCCTTCACAGGCTTTTTTTTTTTTTTTTTTTTTTTTTTTTTGATTGCTTGTTTTGAGATAGTCTTAACTAAGTAGCTCTGGAACTTACTAGATGGGGCTAGCCTTGAATTCACAGAGAAGGATCTGCCTCTGCTTCCTGAGTATCAGAGTTAAAGGCATGTGCCACCCTTCCTGGATACACTGTTTCTTTTTTTGCAAGAGCAAGTTAAACATCAGGACCCAGTCTTCTCTGTGTGGAAAGAATGGCTCGTACAATATGATCAGTACTCTAGGTTGTATTGGGCACAATGCATGTGAAAGACACTGTCTTCACTCTCTAAAATGTCACAACCATGACAGTAGCTGGAAGGCAAGAACATAGAGTTTTACTTCTACCTTGAGAATGCAACACACTTACCAATAGCTCTTGTCATCTCTAGTGCTTGAAAAACACTATTTTTCCCCTTGTCTTGTTGATGGATTTCAGGTATAGAGCATCTGTTTCCTGCTTTTAGACCGGGTTTTCTGCTACTAGACCTGGTTCTCCATGGCTCCTGGTTTTAGATAGAGTGCAGGGGAGAGCTGAACTTTCTGACAGATCTCTGCACTGAAAGGTAGGATCTTCTATGTGCTGCTTCAGTTGCTGGTGGGGAAGAAAGACTTGATCCACACATGAGGAGCTTACCAAGCAGTGGTGTCATGTAGAGAGAAATACCCAGACAACAAGGAGATAAAGGAAAGGAGAGAGGGTGGAGGTGCAAACACAACCCAAGGGGAACCAGGAAAAATTTGTAATTCTAAGGCAACTTTCTAGATACTGTGCCTGGTAAATCTGAAAAGGAGACAAGGATGTTCTCTTCATGTGCCATCAACCATCCTGTTAGGCAGCTGTAAAAGGTGCATTGACTGTGGAAATGAGGGAAATTGTAGCATCTGACCAGCATCAACTGCCTCTCTTCTCATGACACTCAGGGGGAGATACCTGTAACCCCAGTAACATAGACATCATCTCTTCACCCTGAGGACTTAAAATGGTAGTGTGGAACTTTCCCTTGGGTTCTGCAGTAAAAAATAATGGGAGACCCAAGGGTGTGATGAGATAGTAAAGGCTGAACTGTCTCTCTTCTGTTGCTTCTCCTTGCCATATACTTTATATCCTACCAATAGTATGTGATTCCATATACCCAAAGGATGCCAAATATTCTGGACAGCTGCTCACACATTTCCATTGCAATGCCCCATATGCTTGTTACTAAAGACTTGGTGACTTCTTGTTCAGGTCCAAACCTCAGTTCACTCTGTTCTACCTACTCCTCTCCATCCCATCTTTGTGACCATTTTCCAAGCAGAACTATGACCAGTTCAGCTGACTTTCCTCCAACTTGATATTTAACCTGCTGCATTATGACTTTTTTTTTTCTCGGCTCATCTTCTACTCTTTTAATCATTAGTACACTAAGTATTTACCTCTGCATTTCTGGAATGAGTCTCAATGCTTGGAACATACAAGATGCTTCAAAATGCCATGTGTGCTAAGCTGTTCTGCCCAGACTAGAAGGGCAGACGTGAACTGGGTTTTAAGCTAAGTAGAAGAGCACCAGAGGCTTTCTAGACTCAGCTTGACTGGTTTCCATCCTTGCTGGACCTAATGCTTCTGAGAGCATAAAAGTTAGCCATAAACAAGCTTGGGCAAAGTGAGACAGCCATCACTAGACTGTAAAGGAAGGAACAAGGGGACTGAAGGACTGGCAGAACTGTCACATCAAATCAGACTAAGCTAGAGCCCTGACTTGCTAAGCTAAGGGAAGGATGCATCTAAGGAGAAGACGTAGGAAGGATGGGAGCTGTCTAGAGAACTCTATACAAAACCTTAAACCTTAACTGAAGGGGACCTAGCAGTTCATGCCTGTAATTCCAGCACTGGAAGGATCGCCATGAATCTGAGGCCAGCTTGCGGAATATAATAAGATCCTGTCTCAAAATAAAACTTCTTGATAGAACTATAAATACTTAAAGCTACTGAAAAAGAAAAAATATGAAGTGAGATAATTTTAAATTACAATAGTCTTTCAAAATTTAAAATTTTGGCTAGTGTACAGAGAAATTGGTTTCCTTGAGATATTTTCATAACACATATTATTTATTTGTTTATTTTTATTTGCCTTGGTGCCTTTCCCCAATGTCCCTGCTCAGTGTCTTGTCAATGAATCCCTTCCACCTTCTGATTTCATGACACACAGTTCCTATTTCCCTCTCTTGTTCCCCTCCCTTTGGATATTTCTCTCTTTCATAGTAAGTTACTACTTCCATATCCTAAACACACACACACACACACACACACACACACACACACATGCGCACGTGTGTACGTGTGTACAGTAAGTGCATAAATTTTAATCTAGACTCTACATATGAAAGAAAACATGATATTTGTCTTCTGAGTTTGGCTTCTTTCCATCCATTTTCCTATGAATGTCATGATTCAATTCTATTTTATAACTGAAGGTGATTCCGTAGTGTGGATTCACCCATATTTTCCCTTTCTGTTTGTTCATTGCCCCATTATGAATCAGAAGCAGTGAACACAGATGTCCAAGGCTCTCCATGGCTGACTTAAGACTCCTTGAGGTATGGCTGGATTGTATGGGGAGTTTACAGTATTTTGAAGAGTCTCCATGTTGATTTCCATATTGGCTGTACCAATTTATATTTTTAAGATAAATAAAGATTCCTCTTTCCCTCCATCCTGGCCACCACTCATGGTCATTTGTCTGCTTGGTGATCCAACTGGGGTGACATGAAATCTCAAAGTAATTTTAATTTTTTTCCTGATGGCCAAGTATATTAAACACATCCTAAAATCTTTATTGGCCATTTATGTTTTATTTTCTTGGAGAGCTATCTATTCAGTTCATTAGCTCATGCATTGGTTATGTGATATTTGGAATTTAACTTTTGGGTTCTGTAGTTTTCAAACATTGGTCTCCTACCTACCAGTTCAGCAGGCTGGGTTCTCATTGCAGTGGCTG